GAACACCTTAGGATGAGTCAAATGATGCCCTCCCTGCATCCCCCCAACAGCAACTTTCTTATCCCTGACCATTCCTGAGATGATGATGGAACAGACCACAACCTGATCAGCATCATCTTGCTGGGAAAAGCCTCCCACTAGGCAAACTCCCAAACCCTGTCCTCATCCCATTTCTAAAAACCTCAAAGACATTGTCAGACCCTTGAATACAGGGCTAAGGACACAGCTCCCTTGTCTTCCAGGTGTAGCTACACTGATTAACATTCCTTTCATACTTTTCACCATTTACCTTTTCTGTCTGATTTGGAGTGAGGGGCAAATGGCCAGACATGTTTTGTTGGGTCCTCAGAATCAGCCTCTGTCCTAGGACGCCAGTGACAACATCATATATTTTTAATGTTTCTCTGTGTTGGATTCACTGAAAATTTCAAAAAGGGGTTTAAATGAATGGGAGAATCTGAAATGATCAATAGCACAAGAGTCTTATTACAGAAGTCTGAAGTATTTAACAACAACAAAAAAAAATTCTTGGGATTGTCATCAATATTTATGACTTTTATGGTTGAGATATGAGGTATCCCCCCAAAAGCTCAAGTAAGACAATGCAGGAATGTGCAGAGGTGGAATGATTAGATAATGAAAGATGTAACTCCATTACTAGACTAATCCATTTGAATTTGAATAGGAAATAAGTCATGATTGTAGAAAGGTAAGGCGAGGCCATAGCAAATAGATCACTGGGGGTTGTAGCCTGGGACTGTATCTTGCCCTGGCTTCTTCCTGACCCCCTTGCTTCTTGGCTGCCATTAGCTCAGCAGCTTTCCTGCACATGCCCTTCAGCCACAATGTTTCTGACTCACCTCAATCCCAGAGCAATAGATTTGGCCAATCATGGACTAAGCCTGTGAAACGGTGGCCCCCAGACAAATTTTTCCTCCTCTACATTGTTCTTGTCAAGTAGTTTGGTCACAGTGACAAAAAACAAACAAACAAAAAACTTACAAACCCAATAACTTATAAGAGCAAGTTAATGAAAGTTATGACAGATGATTGGGACCAAGAATTCAAAAATACTGAAAATCATTCCATAACATAAAAATATTTTTTTATTCAGTCACAAGAATTGTATGAAATTATGGCATTTGCTGGTCAATGGATGGAAATGGGGAATATTATGTTAAGTGAAATAAGCCTATTCAGAAATTCAAAGGTTGAATGTTTTTCTCATATGTGGAAGCTAGAGTTAATTAATTGAAATAAGGATAAGATATCAAAAATATATAGAGAAGATCAGTAGAGCAGAAGAAGAAAAATCAAAAGGGAGTGAGGAGGGATGAGAAAGGGGAGGAAATTTGGAATGAACTCTCAAAAACTCATGTGATGTACATATATAGAGATATATAGATATATATATATGCACATATATACTACATAAAATTTTACCTTAATATTTATATATGTATAAATAACCAATCAAAAATAAATAAAAAGATGAATGAAAGGAAGATCAGTAGAGTGGAGGAAGGAAAATGCCAGGGAACAAGGAAGGGAAAAGAGGAAGTTTATGAACTGAAATAAAATTCAATGCATGTATGATTGGGGGGGGGGGTAACCCAGTTACTATATGTAACTGTAATATTCTAATTTTTAAAAATTAAAGATGAAGATCTTGAATTTACATTCATTGAATGGATTCAGCAAGAAAGTAATGAATCTCTAAAAACTACCTTATTTTAGGTTGCTTGTTGGTTTTATACTGAAACAAGCTAAAACAAACCAAAAGAACTGGAGTAGAGGCAAGAATTTGTATAACATGTGAGCCTAGATTTTTTTAGAAGCAGCACGATGTAAATCCATGTTTCCAACCTCAGCACTATAGATATTTTGGATCAGAGAATTTGGCAAATGCCCCTATCAGAGGAACAACTGAAGAAAGTCAAATTCAGAATTTCTGAAATAAATCCAATATTTATTGTGTGTAATTTTTCAAAAAAAGAAAATATGGACAATTATGCATGGATTTTCTGACTATTCTATAATGATTTTGTATCAGTAGCTTAAATTTGTTACTGGAAAACTAGGCAAATTCCATTGTCCATGTATAAATCTCCACATACCAGCTGGGATTGCAACTTGTCAAAAGTGAAGTTTGGGCTATCAATGTCCCCCAGGATGATATCTGTATTGAAATATTTTTTACCAAGGAATTATGATTCATGAAGAACAGGTATAAATAGTTGTAAAGTTCTATGCTAATTGCAGTTTAAAGAGGCTTAAAATCCAGAGCTTTCTGAAAGAAGTCAATTGATAGAGCTTACTATGAAGCCATTGATTAATACATCCACTTTAACAAATGTTTGGCACAGATTTGAGGCCATGCTCATGTTTGCAAGTGGACTAACCAATGAAGATGGTATGAACCATAATACTGTTAATGAGAAATAAGTCACATGATAAAAGTTTATAAGATAAAAATCTAAAGAAGACAGAGAATATTGAAATTCTAAAAGTACTAAGTATTGTCACTGAGGCCCCTGATGGGCACAACCCAATTGGTAGGAACATTGTAGTGGGGACATTGGGATCACAAGGGAAAGATCCCAGAAGATGACATGGGAGAACAGAGGATCAGTTAACCAGTATTCTTGAACAATGTGCATTCACCATGGAGTCAGAAACTAGTGTGGCTTCCTCAGAGAGTTTCCCTAGAGAGACACTACTCAGACCCTGGAGAGAGTATTTAAGTGGTAACCTGGAGAATGCTGCTTCATCTTTTGTGAATCTTTTTCATTGAAACTATGAAAAGCCCAACTCAACTTGCTGGTGATGACAGTAACAACCCTGATGGATTTAGTTTTCTGAGGTCCTCAAGCCACCAGATGCAACAGGTATGGTACTGTTACAGTGCTCCATAACTGTAAATGAAACCACAAACCTGTCCTCCTTGGAGAATTCTACTGTGCTCTTAAATGGTCTCCCCAACTCCACAAATGAACCCAATAATCCAATCTCCATATACAAGTTAGAATTATTTTTAACATTATATAAATTGACTCTTCTTGCAACTTTCCAGGAGCTTCTGATATCAGTTTAAATAACATTAAAATTTCTTACCTACTTAATTAGGCCCTTGACTTCCCCTCCACCTACCTCATCCTCCGGGACTCCAGGCCACTCCCTCAGTCACTAAACGTCAGCCACTCCAACCTTCTTTCTTTCCTTAACTTAAGCACAGCACACAACTTTCCACATTGGGGCCTATCCTCTGTTGCCTCTCCCTGGAACCCTTCTCCCTTACTCTCATCTCTTTATTCTTGTCTCAGCTAAATGCCTCTCTCTCAGGGATATTTCCTCATACCTAAACTGAAGTTGGGTGGGTCCCTTTCTCTCTGCTCTCTCACCCTGATGATATCTTTATATTTTTCCCCTGAGTGCCTTTATTATTCTCTGTAATATTTTTCTTCATTAAATGTTTATTGGGTTATTGTCTTTCTCTCTGTAATTATATAAGTTCCAGTAGACTAGAGGATTTCTGTCTTATCAAATGGAATTTGTGGAGCTTAGAACAAACCCAGGATATAGTACTTAACACAGAAAAGTATCTGTGGCCTATATGAAACCACTGTGGTTCTGGGAATTGATCACTGTGGTATCCTGGAAAATAATAAGAGGCTCAAACATCAACTCTTGTAGTCTGATGACACATTATATCACTTGTATTTCCTGTGAGAAGTTGAGACAAACTTCCTCTTTTGAGGGGAAGGGGGTACCAGGGATTGAACTCAGGGGCACTCAAACTACTGAGCCACATCCCAGCCCTGTTTTGTATTTTATTTAGAGACAGGGTCTCACTGAGTTACTTAGCCACTTGCTGTTGCTGAGGCTGGCTTTGAACTCGTGATCCTCCTGTCTCAGGCTCCAGAGCCACTGGGATTACAGGCCTGTGCCACCACACCTGGAAAACTTCTTCTTTCTCCTCCCTATAAAGGCATTTATGGGTAAAGAAAAGGCAATTTTAAGAGAAAGGGAAATTTATACTGTTTTATCTGCTCAGATGAATCTCTTATAGAGCTTAGGAAGTGTGAAGTTCAGGAATATTCAATAATGGTAAGTGCATTGGCAAAAAAAAGGGGGGGGGGAGTGGAGATATAGAATACAGAACATGGCTAATTAAGGGGAAGCAGACACAATGGAGAAATCTATGAGATTTGGATTAAGGCCCCAGTAAACCAACAACTTCCCTTGACTTGCTTACTGGTTTTCAGCCCCAAGAGATATTAACAGCCTTCACACCCTCACTGTACCCACAATTATGTTGTAGACTTTTAAAGCTCATGAAATTGCTGATAATTGACCATTTTTGACTGAAAAACATAGATTTTTCATACAATTTTGTCCAAACTTTCAATCCCCTGTGGGCTCAATCCAGAGAACGTAGGGTACACAGGAGAAACTGATAGTATAAGAAGGTTCAAAGCAGATTCATTAAATGAACAGTAAACTATGCCAGGTTTTAAGAAGATGCATTACAAGAAGAAGAAATCTTCTAACTGCTTGAATGTTTCAATATTTCATAATTTAAATAAAGAACCAAATGGCATGTATAAAAGAGACTAGAACTATACATATAAAGTTAGCTTTTTTAAAAAAATCATTTTTCTGGCATGATAACATATAAAGGGAACTGCTGAGAAATTAGCTTAACGTTATTTCTAATTCTTCCAAGTCTCTGAGAGAACATGATGTGAGACTGGAGATTTTACTGGAAACGACTTGGAAAGAAATGGTTTACATATGAGGATTTTTCAAACAGGTCTCATAGAAAAGGCTCTAGCTCCATATTTTTGGAAGTCGTTTGGAATCCACATGATGAAAACATGTGGCCACTGAAGAAAATGTCACAAGTTTTAAGGGACTTGGCCTGGACAAACAGAGAAAGTTAATTCCCTTCCTTCCCCCACCCCACTCATGACCCCTCCACACCTGAAGAGTGCACTTACATCTGGTGTCCCTGGCCAAAGCCATGGGAAGGATCAGTGTCATCAGCATCATTGTCAGACGTGCCATGCAGGAGCTTCCACGGAGCCACAGACTCACCATGCTGGAGAACAGGAGAGGACTGGGTCAGAGAAGAACAGATAAGTCTCAAGCAGCGAGAGCTATGTCCCATCTCTACCCAAATCCCAAATAATAAGAATCAAGATATTCATTTCTTTGATGCTAGATTGGGCAGTCTTGATGCTGAAGAACCAATTAGCATCACAGATGAATAGCATCATCAGTTTCTGGTCAGAGATACAGTATGAAGGTCCTCTTTTCAAATTCAGAGTTTCCTTGATTAAAAGGATCATTTATATTTAATGTTTTAAACCTTGGATCCAGTTGCATCTGAAACATTTTAATTGAGCCATGGTGATGACCCAGTTCTGAAGTTGTTAGTGATACATTCACAAGTATTAGTATTTTGGAAGCATTCATCTCACATTTGAAGACAGAGATGTTTGGACAACTGACTGTATGTGTGAAAGTGTTTTGGAGTAAAGTGGGTGGAAGGATGGTAACTAAAAGTCAGGAGACTTTGAATCTGGTTTTTATTGTACCATAACTTAATGCAAATTAAGTTAACATTAAATTACTTAACTTCTCCCAGTTGAAATGAAGGCATTAAGATCTTTCATGTATTTCCAAGCTGTAAAAAGTTGTGCTTCTGTGGAAACCTCATGCAGCAGCATCCCCTGGTAACTGATGATATTGCAGAATTACAGATGTTCATTGGAGAGTATGATCTGCACTTCTTTACACTTACTACTCTGGTAAGCTAAAGGAAATAGAAAGCTAGTCAATCAGTTAACATGAGTACAAGGGTTTTTCAAGTTTGTGTCCTGATACTGTCATGATTTTAGTGGCATCTAAAGAATACACCTAGGCAAGGGGCATGGAGGAGGCCCTCTATGTGGAATGAAGGTCTCAAAAATAACTCTGCAGAGCTCTCAACCTGAAAGCATAAGGCCACTGTCCAAATCATAGCATGCAGAAGCTGACAGGTAAAAGACTAAAAAAATCAGCATTTAATACGCCTCTGATTTAAAATAATTTATTTTGGTTGGGAAACAGTATTCAATCCCTTAATCCTGGTTCCCATTATGATTCCCTCATTTTATTGAGGGTATGTCCCTCCACTATTCCTCTTCACTTGATTTACCTAAGGAAAGATGTAAGAAAACTTTACTAATACATTATAGAATATACAGGAAATAGGACCCTATTGAAAAATTATGAATTAGATCATCTGATGCAATCATATAATTTTACACATATTCCTACTTTTAGATAATTATTTTACATTATATTAATATAAATGTGCTGTTCCAGATTCAGAATTGTCCTAAGGGTCTTTTATATTTCATATCCTTATGAAGGATATCACCCAATCCAGTTTAATAAAAACAACTTCCCCTTTCATATTTACAGATAGAGAGAATATAATGATGGGTATTAGATACCATTTGTAAGGAAATGAGGCCAGTAAATGGTATGCTCCAGATTGATTTGATTGATTGATTTGGAATCTGTGATTCCAAACCCCATAAACTCAGCCATTACATCATACTACTCACATTTACTTTCTGAGGAGTATAATATCCCTTGTATTAAAATTATTCTTGTCACTTTACTTCATGAATATATTTAACAATAAGACTATCTTAATGAATGACATCATTTTATATAATGAGACAGATACCATGCAGCAATTCCATTTCCATCAAAAGATTCCCTTCATCACCACCATGATCAAAGTTTGCTTTGATCTTAGGCAATGACACCCATGGCTCCTACACAAATCTTCACCTTATTAAAGATAACAGTACCCTCAACCCCTAAATCTGATCTATTGCTCTCAAATATTATCTCAGACTTCTTGAACATAGTGTAGTGCAAATGTGATCACCCCAGCAGAGAATAGAAATGGTATCATGCTTACTTTGGAAAAATATATTTCCATTAAGGTTGGAAGTTCCAAGTCCTTTGAATTGGTTGCATAGAATTCACTATGATATTATGTACTGCGTATGAGAAGAAAGTGCATCCCCAGACCCTTATATTATTCAGAAACTAATTACAATATATGATAATCTAGGAAAGACACATTAAGGCTCACATTGGTATTATGGTTCACCTTAGGATAAAAGGGACGGCAAGGAAAATAATTCTATATTAAGAATATCTTAAAATGTGGTTAAAGAGAACACTATCAAATCTTTTAAAAAACATTTAGTTTTTAATTGTAGATGGACACAATACCTTTATTTTATTTTTATGTGGTGCTAAGGATTGAACCCAATGCCTCATGCATGCCAGGCAAGCACTCTACCTCTGAGCCGCAACCCCAGCCCTCAAATATTTTTTAATCCATTCTTTTTAGTTGTACATGACAGTAGAATCCATTTTGATATAAATGGATCAAATCTTGTTCATATAAATTTGACCAACTATTTACATGTCATAGAAGTTTATGTTTAGAAAGAATAAGCAAAAACCTCTATGAACTAAATTCTGTTTGTTGTATACATTTAGGAATAACAAAGATATATTGTGTTAAATATATATCTCACACATGTCTTCAAAATGAATTATTATAAGGACAGTTCAGGTAAAAAAAAATGTAACTAAAGTCACCAAACCATTAATCCTACCAGTGATCTCTGGACTGAACTTCTTCACTGGAAGCAAGAACAGAAGCAGTGCTCTCAACTGCTGTTTTCTGAAGGTGCCTAAGGAGAGCTCCTGAGGAAAAGGTAGTTAAGTTGGTTTCTGGACGAAAGTGACTATCAGAATGAAAGTTCTTCATTTTTTTATCTTTTTCTCAAATTACTCTTGAATTTTCTTTTTTTTAAAATTTTAATTAGCAAATATAACTTCATACATTTATGGGATATTCTGTGATGTTTTGACATATGCAGACAAGGAATGGTTAAAACTAACATAAATATCTCCTCACATACTATCTGGAGTAAGAACATCTGAAATCAATTCTTTGCAATTTTGAATATTCAATACATTATTATTAATTAATTCTAATACTGCTCAATAAATCTCAAAAACTTATTTTACCTAATTCAAACTTTGTACTCTTTGACCAATGTTTTCCCTAGATTCCCTATGTTGATGCTTGAAACCATATGTCCATTTTTTGATTATATGTTATAAATGGTTATATGTTATATATAATATATACATATACAATACAAATATAATATATATACATAATACATATGTGATGTATACATATATGGAAGCATGTATTATATGTATATGTATAATTATGTCATATATAATATATAACCATTTATATGTTATATATTATAAATATATTTGTTTTTATGGTTATATGATACAAATCTACACTCTTGGGGGAAAAATGTGAAATTAGAAGAATGTACTTTTGTTGAACACAGGAAGGCTGATATTAAAGGATTGCAATAAACCTTGAAAAAAATGAATTCTGTAGGTAGGAAATCAGTGAGAGGGAGAAAGAGAAGGAAAGGGGACATACTAGGAATTGAAATGAAGAATATTATGTTAAGTGCCTCTGTGAACATACCAAAATGAACCCCACTATCATGTGTAACTATAATGCGCCAATTAATAAAAACAAAAAGAAATTAAAATGACATTTTAAAAGTTTGCTCACTTGGCCACAGTTAGTACAGAATGTCTTTTAATTGTTCAGATGCTTTCAGAAAATATTCTCAGAAGTTTTCAGAAGGCAACCACCACTAAGCTGGAAACATTAAAATTACTAGCACTTTCTTGCATTAACAAGATTTGCCTAGATAAAATCAACTTGAATTATACAAAAGGTGCTGCAAGAGGAAGGTTCACACTTCCTTTTATATGACCTATCAAACAAAACAACTCTTACAATATTGTGGAGTAATCTTCAGAAACTTAGTACAACTTTCACTAATTATTGCCAACATCCCTATTTTGATCATATGTTCATTCCATAGTTTACACAGCAACATAAAACAGCAAAATTTATAGACTAATTCTTTCAGTTAGAGATTCTAAAGATGATTTGAGTGCTAAGCCAGCATCAACAGATCTGACTGGGGGACTGGTCTGAAAGAAAAATATAAGAGCAAAGGTGCGAGATAATTTTTAAAAATTACCTAAACCATGGCTACATCATTAACTAGAGATAAAAATGCTTTTTGATAATCACAGCAGAAGATAGCATGAGTACTGACAGAAAATTTAGGCTTCTCTATAAGTATTGCTTCTATAATTTCTGAAGCTATAAAAAAACTACACAAGCATAATAAGAATAATCCTAAGGGCAATTGATTCCTCATGTAGGCAAAAAAAAATAAAAAATAAAAACAAACAAACAAAAAGCATAGCATTGGTTCATTTTCCTCCAGAACAGAAAACAGTAAATTCTTTTGTCAAAGTTGCCTTTAGTGTAATTGCTGATACTGAGTGTGATATCATTCGTATTGACCATGGTGTTTTCACCCACAGTTTTATAGCTTTGTGACTTCAGAACCTCCCAGACTAACTTGTTGTACTCCCATCTGGGCAATGCACTGGTTTGTGTAACTTGATAAGCTTCCAAAGGTGCCTATAGGAAGAAACCATTAAGTGAGTTGTAAAATTCTAGATGGGTTTAAGAATGATGAAGTAGACCATGAAATATTGGAAGAAATTTGTGGCATGCAGAAATCTTTAGCACAACTCTGGAAAATCACTGCTATAACATCACCTATGAAGTTGAAATATGAAATCTCTTGGGAAAATGAGAAATATACTTGAGTTCACCACAGGTTTGCTAATCAAGGAGTGTTTGAAATATGACTGAACAAATTTTCTTGTGAATGTAGTAAAATTGGAAAAATGCAGATGACTTTTTGGGGCACAAACTGATAATCTTCTCTGTATTGGATCTTCAGTTTGAAATTTATGCCCAGGTGAAAACTCAGAAACATTCTGGAGTTGCAATCTGATGCAATTCCCAAAAAGTTCATGAAAATGTTGCTTAAATGATAAACCTCAACCATCCCATGCCCCTATAATCTTTGTGCAGGGTCACATGGAGCTCCTATAGAGACCAGGTACTATTGTTGTGTCCCTTAGGTGCCCTCTAGTTGCCTCTGCATAAGTTCAATGGAAACTAAACATCAACTTTCCATATA